TAAACGGGTCTCTATTTGGTGACGTGTGGGGGAGGAGGGAAGGGGCGGTTTCCCTTTTGGTGTGGTTTCGTTCGGAAGGCCGTCTGGCCTGCCGCGTGTTGGTGATACTTCCGCAGGGTTTGGGCTGACTCTCGGGTCTCCATGTTGGAATGAACCGTTAACATTAGGAAATAGACAGATCCTAAGTAAGTTCCCTCTGGACTCCGTAGTATCTGCAAAACGCTCAGTTCCCTCATCGGACGCATTTCAGTGTGGACTGAACACTGTGGAATTGGGTCCAAAGTACACGATGGTTTTCCTTGGCGTGATCAGGGCCGGCCCAAGGCATTCGTGCACCCCGGGAGCACGGCGCATGCGCAGCCCCGCCCCCGGGGCTCCGCCGCGTGCATGGCCCCACCCCAGCCTGGTCCAGCAGCCTCGCACAGCGCCCCCTACAATGGGGCGCCCCGGGCGGTAACGCAGTCAGCCCGTAGCTTGGGCCAGCTCTGGGCGTGAGCCACTTACCCTGTGACTAGTGGGAGGTTTCTATTGGCGGTTCTTTACATAAAGTCTTCAGCACTGGGCCAAATTTATCCGTGGTGTCATTCTGTGATATCAGCCAACCCTGCTGGTTCTCCACTTTATTTTCCCCTCTTTCCACATGTTAAGTGTCCTCATTGCTTCTCTGCATGCTGTGACAGTTATTTGTGAGATTAAGGATGAATGACAACTGCGGGGTTACTAATACAAATGAAAACACGCTGTTACTGAAAAGAAAACTCCACTTTTATTTTCCAAAATATTGGTCCTGATGTTCAAGCTTGAATGAACACAGCATAGTAATAATGGAGATATACCTATCTATCTCATAGAACTGGAAGGGACCTCGAGAGGTTATCAAGTCTTGTCCCCTGCCCTTACGGCAGGACCAAGTACCATTCCCGACAAATTTGTCCCAGATTCCTAAATGGCCCCTATAAGGATTGAACTCACAACCCTGGGGTTAGCAGGCCAACAGTCCCAGATCCCCAAATGGCCCCTATAAAGATTGAACTCACAACCCTGGGTTTAGCAGGCCAACACTCAAATCACTGAGCTATCCCTCCCCTGATTATACATGGTATCACCAGGCTCCTCTTCTAATAACCCTGTTTTGTAAAATGTCCTTTACTATTAAAGTAACTTTCTTAAGGAAGAAATAGAAATAGTACCAAGATGTGGGAAAGATATCGTAGAGTGTAAAGTATAACTTCTTCTTGGTTGGTAACCTCAGGAAATAATTAACTTGTACTTGCAGTACTGACCTGAAACACTGAAAGGACCAGAAAAAGCCGACAAACTATTTTTTAAAAGCTTACTCAAACACCGCCAATTACGCATTTAATTATATGAAGTTACTTTGCCTCAGGAAAAATGTGCCCTCTGTTTGCACCTTCTTTTGGAAAAACTTTTGTCTCCGTGCCTAATGAAAAGTACAGTCCACAAAGGAGATAAAAAAGAATCGCTCTGCTTAATTAAAAAGCACATGCAATCGCGCTACTAAATACGTCAGCCCAGAGAATGCAAAATGTTTCAGTACAAAGCAGGCTGCAGATCCAACTGAAATGTTATGTTCTTGGTCTGAACTTAGACCACAAAGTCCCCGTGAGGCCAGTAGGGAAGACTGTGCCATCAGACTAGGTCCTGGTTTCAGACTCAGACGATGAGCTATATGGGGAGGGATCGATAGGGTTCCCGTATGATGGAATTTCTGTACTGAAACATTGTTGAGAAAATGATGTTAAAAAAACCCACCCAAATCAAGTTACGGTTGCTCACTCGGAAATTAGGAACTGCCAGAATGAAGGTGGCTTGGGCGTTCCTAATCTGGCCTTCTTGTGTGTCCTGCTGTCTTGCATTACAGGCTGACGTAGCGTTTGTGCCCTGAGCCAGGGCGCAGGGTGGGTAAAGAGTGAGGCAGAGGGCTGCAAGAAGAGAAGGGATGTACTTTGTGGGATAGGCATCAGCCCTCCCTGGGCATGTCTACACTAGGGAATTATTTCGACATTACTCAATTTAAAATAACTCCCGAAATAAAAAAAATCGAAATAGCGCGTCCCCGCTCGACATTAGTCTGAGGCAGGCTCCATTATTGTGGATGCGCTAGCTCAACAGTGAGCCCCAGGAAGCACTGGGGAGTAATTACTTGGGGTGTAATTATTCGTGTGGGTAGGGTTGCCAGATGTTCTCCCAAAAAATACCGGACACCCAGAACGTGGGATAAGCGGCGATCGCAGCTCCGCCTCCCAGCTAGGACTCCCAGGCTGGGAGGCGAGGCCGCCATCGGCACTGGGAGCCTGTGATTGCGCAGAAGGCTGGAGGGGTTGGGGGGGGGGGGTAGGAGTCCACCTCCCAGCCACTCCCCCCGCCCCCGCCAGGCTTCTGCGCAATCACAGGCTCCTAGCGCCGATCGTGGCCCCGCCTCCCAGCCACTCCCCCCGCCCCCACCAGGCTTCTGCGCAATCACAGGCTCCTAGCGCTGATCGTGGCCCCGCCTTCCAGCCACTCCCCCTGCCCACGCCAAGCTTCCGTCCGGTGCACAGCCGGAAAAATCAGAGAATACCGGACATTGCACATGTCCGGTATTCTCTGATTTTTTTTTTTTACCGGACAAAGAACTCAAATACTGGACTGTCCGGTAGAATATCCAGGCTTCTGCGCAATCACAGGCTCCTAGCGCTGATCGTGGCCCCGCCTTCCAGCCACTCCCCCTGCCCACGCCAAGCTTCCGTCCGGTGCACAGCCGGAAAAATCAGAGAATACCGGACATTGCACATGTCCGGTATTCTCTGATTTTTTTTTTTTACCGGACAAAGAACTCAAATACTGGACTGTCCGGTAGAATATGGGTCACCTGGCAACCCTACAGGTGGGCCTGGCTAGTTCAGTCGATAGAGCATCAGACTTTATCTTCATCACTGGAGACATTTAAGAGCAGGTTGGATAGACATCTGTCAGGAATGGTCTAGACGATGCTTGGTCCTGCCATGAGGGCAGGGGACTGGACTTGATGACCTCTCGAGGTCCCTTCCAGTTATGTTCAATGAGTCTATACTTCAAATGACTCTGGGGAGCTATTTTAAAATAGCGGCACCGGCACGTCCACGCTACTGCTATTTAGAAATAAGCATTATTCCCCATGGAAAGCAGGAGTAGAGATTCTTAAATAACCAGCAACTTATTTCAAAATAATGGTCTTGGCCGTGTGGGCTCTCCGCTTGTTATTTTGAAATAAGGGGGGTTATTCGTGTAGATCAGAGCCAAGAGAAGAGCTGCTCCAGGATGTGATGTTGGATAGGGCTGTAACATAGGGGTATGGACAAAGAGCCCAAATGAAAGTCAACGGGCAACCTCAAGGATGACATTTATTTGAATGCCTGACATTGGAACCTGCAAGTAAATCCTGGTATGGCAGTGCCTAGGACTCCCGTTGTGTTGGTTGCTGTACAGACGAAAAACCTACAGGCCCATCTATGCCTCAGAGAGCTTACGCTTTTGGCATAGGACATGGCAGGTGGTGGAAAAAGACAGGGATGGGGGCTGAGAGGAGGGAGATAACAGTAGAATGAACAGAGTTTAGTAGAAAACCAGAGGCTTCTCTTCCCACATGCCTGGCCACTGAATTAATAATGAAACGAGCAACCTTGCAAAACCTTCTTCTGTACTGCTCCTCCTTTAGGGAACACGTTTCTGTCTTCTCTCTCCCGCTCTGTCCTGTCAAACACACCCCGCCTCCTCTGCTGGCTAATCTGAAATGGTCACAAACCAGCCTCTTCAGAGCCGACTTTTCCACTAGTCCGCTTTGAGCCAGCTGACCACCATGGCAGGCGAGTGCGAAGAATCAGAGATGTTGGTGGCATCCTCTGGAGGAAGGACTAGCTGCTCTGGGGAGCAAACCACTTGCTAGCTGGTCATGAATTGGGGTGGAGGGCTACTTGGCCTCTGGCT